CTTGGATTCACCCATAAGTAGTAGCTCAAATGAATGGAAGAAAACTGTCTTGGGATACACATGCACTAACTTTCAATATCTTTCACATAATAAAGACATCTCCTCTAGAACCAAACTGTTCTTATACCACTCAGTTCAGCTGATAGCCAAGCAGAGAACTGAATTTGGAAATTATTTTCAATTGTCAAATTGAACAACTGAACACTGAACAAGTCTGAGCAAAGTCCTACAAGCTTTCTTGCCACTTACGTATGAGACCTCACACAACAATGCTATATATTTACATTAGCCTTACAAGTACAATAAAAAGATTTGTACATGGGAAAGTTCAGCTTGTTGTACTGCCCATCTCATGAATTCTTGAACTCTACAAGTCAGAATGATCAGGCATCACTTACAATCCCATGACCCAGCTTCAACATTGTTCAGAGTTTTCCAACACATATTGTCTCCCTAATATGAGCTCCAAAATGGGATTCCTTAGATTAAGTTTCCTTTGGGCTCTGTAAACAAATCTGTTCCAAATTTAGTTGCTGGTATTGCACAAAGATCTTGGATCAATGTAAGATGGATCAGTGCTATATGAATTCTCTGAAATATCTCTTAATAAAACAACAAAAATTAACACTGAAAATAAAACAATAAATAAAATCAAACAAAAAAGTCATGAGACACCTCATTACAGCATAAACTTTAGGGACAAAATAAACCTGTTACTTTTAAGGGACTGACAACAGTTGTCTGTTCCACCCCATAAAACCTAACAAAGCTACTCCTGTGGAATTTATAACACTGAATTTTATTATCTTAAATCTGCATCCCAAGACAGTATGGAAATTTCACAGCCAACCTTCTTCACATTTCTCCTTCACTCAATGCATCTTAAATATGTAATCTAAATGTTGGAGCAATATTCCAGCACTTTAGTATGAATAATTTACATTGCAATCTAAGCTGATCTAAGTAGAATTAGGCATTTATATTAACATTTTGTGCATACCTATTCAGAAGGAACTAATCCCTCAGCTGTGAAACACTAATCAGAAAAGTAAAGTCTCTCCTTTAAAAAGGCCATTTAAATAAAGCCAGAAGCAACAACAGCTTCAAAGTGCTTGTGCAGCAGCAAAGCACAAGAAAATTTGTCAAAATAGGGATTAGCTCAGTTTTAGTTAAAATGTGTGAATTCATTTATACAGACTTAAACAATGAGGACATAGTTTTTTTGTGGGTTTTTTCGGGTTGTGTGGCCATGTTCTGAAAGAGTTTCTTTCTGACGTTTCGCCAGCATCTGTGGCTAGCATCTTTTTTCTCTGAAGATGCTAGCCACAGATGCTGGCGAAACGTCAGAAACTCTTTCAGAACATGGCCACACAGCCCGAAAAAACCCACAAAAAAACTATGGATGCTGGCCATGAAAGCCTACAACTTCACAATGAGGACATAATTCTAATTATGCTTTCCACCCTGCTTTAACATTTAGAAGTCCATTCAGATGACACTTTGTGAACAAAATGGTAGCTTGGATAACCCCCTTAGATGCACATATGAGTAAATGTTTCAACTGGATAAGCATCCATGGAATTTTTCAACAGTGTTTCCATACACACAATGTTGCAGCCAAGTCTGTTTGGAGAAGGCACTGGCTAGAAAGAAACATATCTTTTATATCAAGGTAGGGCAACTATTAAGACTTGGGGCACAATTTATACCACCACACCTTCCTGTGAAATACAAGTGACATCACATTTACAAATAGTCACAGGTATTTGGTATATTTTCA